GTGACAAAGAGCACTGAACACTGCTTGGATATCTAACACGTTGATGAGTTTGCCTCAAGAGGCAGTGTGCCTGACCCTAGAGGTTTCCCATCTAAACAGTAATGCATCCGTCGTCATGGTCATATCCGGACTTCGAGGGATGAAAGGAAAGCCCAGCTGACAGGTACTCTGTGATGGTCTACCACTGAAGATGATTGTGGATGTCCAATGGAAGGACTGGGGTAGCAATCAGGTCACTCTTGGGAGGGTACTGAGATAGGAGATGTAGTTTAAGTGGAAGCATCCGCAGTCGACACCAGGGGATGAGGTCGACCAGGCTGGCTATTAAGCCAAGGAGATGGAGCCAGGCTAATGCTGAAGGAGCCTCGGCCGGTGATTAACCAGTCGAGGTATTGAAAAGTGAGGATACCACGTTGTCGAAGATCAGCGGTGAGTGTCTTGGCGACCCGGGTGAAGACCCTTGGTGAACTCTTACGTTTGGCTGCAATATTCGAATTGAAGGAACTTACTGTCCTGCTTGTGTATTGAAGTATGGAGATATGCATTCCGTAGATCTATGGAGGTGGCCCAGCAAGGGAACGGTAGAGAGTGCAAGACTATGTTCAGAGTCTACATCCAAAACTGCTTTAGCATTATGACTTTGTTGAGTGGTTTAAGGTTAATTATTGGTTGCCGTTTTCCCAGTTCATCTTGGGTGTCAAGAAGAATGATGAGAGGAACTTGGTGTACTACTGACTTGAGTCTACCAGCACGATAGCTCATTTATGTAGTAATGCAGAAATCTCCTCCAGAGCCAGTGGCTTGGACTTGTCGCATGGAGGGGGAGTAAAATGGAAAACCATCCCAGAATGAATTCAAGAGTGTAACCTTGGGTGATGATGGCAAGAACCCAGCTGTCCACGGTGATTTGCCCCGACAACCACCGACAGGTTCGGGATCGGCAGCTACCCCCCAAAGGGGCCAGAAGTGCTCCATGCAGACCCGCGGTCAGCGGGTCGTGGCTAGAACCTTCTAGAAGTGGCCAGGGGCAAAGCTCGATGGGAGCCTAAGGACTGAGTTGCTAACCGAAGCGGACAACTGAAGGAAAGGCCTGAAGATGGGGACTGATCTACCTATCGTTTCTCGGTGGCGATGGGGGCTGCCAGTGTGGAGGAGCCATAGGTTCACAAAATTACATTTTCTTGGCGGTCTCCATACACTTCACCTCTGACTCGAGGACATTAGTGAATTTCCCGGCGAACAAGTTGTCCCAAGGACCAGAAGATCACAGTTTGCACTTGACAGACTCATAGGGAATGTGCATGGCATCCACCGTATAAGCTCTACGGCTGGAAATGGCCAGAAGTAAGATCTGGGTGAACTGCTCAAAGACGGAGTTAAGTCCCTTGTCGAGCCCACGCAGGGCAAGGGCCACAAAACAATCTGACAACAGGAGTTTGAGAACATGGATCATGTCATGCTCAAGAAGGTGGAGGCGGCCCCCGGGTTGAGTCAGGTCGGCAAAAGAGTCAATGTCGTCATCCTCAGAAGAGAGCAGTTGAAGACCCAAGGTGGAGAGAGCCGAACTGTGTTCCGAACGGACAGCGATCCTGGACATGATCCAGAACCAGATCATGCTGGGAGGGGCCGATCTGGCTGGACAACAGTGATCACTTCAACCTCCGAAATTGCCTACTGAGAGGGAGAAGGGATGGCCAGGAGGGGATCTGGGTTGGGTGCCGTCGCCACTGGCTGAGGCTTGGAGTCTATCTTGCGGGTGAGGGATGTTATGGAGTCCGAGAGGGACTGGAGGGTTGCCATCCAAGGGGGCGGATCTGGATCAGAGCGGCGCTTCTGGGCCTTGGAGGAGGAGGAAAAAGCCAAGGAAGAGGCCTTGCCCTTGTGCTTCTTACCCTTCATCGAAGCAGGGGAGCCAAAGGCTGGGACAGTTGAAGCTGCAGCAAGGCGAGGATTCCCCAAATGGTTGGTCATATGCTGGGAGGAGCACCACGAATTGGGATTGGTGGCCTCATGGCCAGAGTAAATCGGCACACCGGCGGCTATACTAGAGCTGCAACTTGAGGCTGTTTGCCATCCTGTGCTGTAGACTTGCCCGTGGTGGAAGCAGTGGAATGTGGCAAATCCGCTGTGGAGCCTGTTTACCACTTGGAGGGGGTTGACTAGCCCGGCTTCCAAGCAGACGAAGATGGTGAGCACAAGCTGGTGAGGGACCTGGGCCAGACGGCATGGGGGGCCGTTGCCCCGCTGGGCCATCAGGAGGCAGGGTCACCCAGGGATGTGGTAGGTAGCGACACTTGGCACATGCAGCATAGAAAAAGAGGAACAGTTCGTTATGCTCTGGTCAACCATGATCAAGGGTAGTGTTGCGGCACAGCACGCTCAACCCAATCAGTAGGTATATGGAATGCTCATCACTGATCAAAGGTAGTGTTGTGGCACTGCAGGCTCAACCTGATCAATCCAAGCAGTGGTCCTTAATGATCAAGGGTAGTGTTGTGGCGCTGCACGCTCAGCCCTGACCCAGCCACTCCACTGGGTCTTTTCGCCGACACGGCCATTAGTCTTGGACAACATAAACCGTACCACAATACAACGGCAGGTCACACCCAAACCTGTAGACAAGCACAGAAAAAGGTGCAGAAAAGAACGACAAAAATACAAAATATGAAAATAATGAAAATTTGAGTCAATCGGACTCAAAACTCCTGAAATGCCGTAAAACATGTCCATATGATAGATGCTGAGAAAAGGACGAACATGGTGGCGGGACCGCAGTGCATTGTGGAGGGTCAAGGGGCAGTGTGTTCGTCTTTTCAGTGAATTATAAAGGGCACATGGGACGCAGGTGACAAGGTCTTACAGTGATGTTCTGCTTAGTCAGAAATATAGAAAAGGGATGATTGCCATGAACAAAGTCTAAAAAGTGCAACAAGACACTCTCAGTTGAGGTGTATACTTTTGACAACTTTACATCTATGTATACAGTCCATTTCCGGTATTTCTAAGAAATAAACGTGGGTTCCACATCACCGCCTTTATCGGGCTGACTGATTGAAAAAATGCTAGATTTGGAGGGAACTCAATAACGCTCACAGTAAAAGGTAATCCAAGGCTGCAGGAGTTGAACTAAAATATAAGCATCAAGGAGTCTGAGAGTATTTTCTAGGAATCTAGATGCAATGGAGAAAGATCATCCTGAAACTACAGATTTCACTGGGCTCAGTGGCAGCAGAAAAATTGCAGTCAGCTCCCGGTTAGAACAAATATGTGCTGACATTCATTCTTCCCCAAATTTATAAAATTCATAGACCCGCACTGGTGCTTACATTTGCCATCAACAATTTATTGGTTTGATCTCATTTGTGTAACTACAATAGTCTAATTTTGTACTTGTTATAGTATATTATAAACTGTTCCTGTTTAAAAGTTTATGATAATTTTTCTTATTATTGATGCATGCAGGTCTGTGTGTTGCATGTAAGTTTACCACAGCTGATGACAACCACTTGTAAGCCGAAGTCCCCTCAGTACTACTGCTACTAAAATAAATTTGCAAAAGACATTGGTATATGTCTTATGCTCAGAGTGGGGAAGCGGGGAACACCAAATTACTGGTCCTTGGATACCCTGTTAACTAGGAGGCACTCTCCATTATACAAAACACAAATGTAATGCGCTTACATCAAACTTACATAAAAATCTTACCTAAAACTGAAGGATTTAACCTTAAAAGGGTGAAGGTCCAAATCCAACACCCTCAATATTATTTCCAGTATCACCACAGTGCCTTTTTTCAGGAGCTCTTTGCGTTCATTTTGACACTAATTTTGTGAAACTCAAATATACCGTAGTGGTGCAACACCCATTTTTTTCTGAGAAAGGTAGGGCAAAAAGGTACACTTTTACACTGCTAACAGTGCCCAATGAATACTGTTTAATAGTGATAACCAATGAAGTAGGCATGCTTTGTTGGGGCAGGGGAAGGGTGGGACCTTTTTTTCTCAAACATTTGTTCACATTTTATTATATCTGTAAAGAATCTTCCCCTACTCCCATCGGGCACTTTCAATTCCTTTTAAACAGATGATAGGTTGGGGGAGCAAGCTGCTCCCATCCTAAGCAGAACAAACCATGTTTTGACTTCATTTGATTCTTCAACCCTTTTTATGTAAGAATATAAAGAAGTACATTGAATGTCCTAATTGCCATGCTACACTCTAACCAAACTATACCCCAAAATGTACATGGTGTTGTTATCTTCTTTCTTTTGAAATTTTTTCTTCAAATCTTTGAAGTTTAAATTCAAAAGACATTTTACATTTTGGTGCCAACTTCAAATACGGAAGTAGGCATTTTTTTGTAACATACAAGTATACAAACATTTTGCCTGTATTTAGTTGTTTACACATGTCTGAAATAAGGTTAACTTTGATGCTACTCTTTACACTAGGCAAATATAAAGTGTACTATTCATAGATGATTGATTCCTTAACCACTTCCTAACGGGGACTCCGAAATTGGAGACGCATGGTTTATATGCGTGGCCGGGGTCTCCGAACTCGTACAAAGGAAACAGGGCCCTGTAACAAAAGACCGTACTCAGAACAAAAGACCAGGCTGCTGGGCA